TATATCAGTGGACCATTTTTCATGATAAAATGTACCAAAAAAAAAAAGGAAAAAGAAAAAAGAGAGTTAGATACATTAACTAAAGTTCTTAGGACGTGATTAATAAGGATTTTGGCATGTGAAATGTTATCTTTTTAGAGTAAGATAAGCTAAGAAATGTACATCTTAGGCCATGAATAAGTCTTCTTCAAGTCTCCCACGTGGAGTAGATATATCACATCTTTGATGTAGAAGCCTTTAGCTGAAGTCAATTAATTTCACAATCAATATACACTAGCTGCAAGCTAGATTGGCCAAAAATGATCTTTATCCTCTTGGTTTCTGATATGCATGTAGATAGGTTTGGCTTGAATCGCTTGACTTGCTAGTCAATAGCAAGTGGATTCAAATTGGAGCTAATTTCTTGGCAGTGTTTAGAAAATAAGCCACTAATGGGCCATAGCTTATGTACATAAGGATATATATATCATTGGACCATTTTGCATGGTAGAATGTAGAAAAAAAGAAAGTGAGATACATCAACTAAAATTCTTAAGTCATGACTAATGAGGATTTTGCATAACGCTGCCTCTTTAGAGTAAGATAAGCTAAGAAATGTACATCTTAGGCCATGAATGTCTTCTTCAAGTCTCCCACGTGGAGTAGATATATCACATCTTCTTCGATGTGGAAGCCTTTAGTTGAAGTCAATTAATTTCACAATCAATATACTGGAATTGGGATCAAGAGGCACAGAAAGAATGCTCCTGCTCTTTCACATGCATCAACTAAGGGATAACAGGAGATGATTTGCAAGATGATTAAGGGTTGCTTTTGGAGCACAGAAAATTAGCATCTGGACATTGCTTCCAACAGCTATACCAAAGATGGAAAGCCAATACTATCATGAAATCCAAAACAGAAAAACAGCATAAGAAAAACTACCAAAAAATGAAACTAAAACGGATCAGACAAGACGTTTTGTCTTTTTCAAGAAATAATTTGATCTAAAGTATTAATGGAGAATAACACTGATTTAGAAAACTCAAACAGCTTCCATGATGCATGTTGTAAACCTCTCACCTCAATTACTCATTCTCTGGTCTATGGACTTAATATATCTTACGGTGCTAAGGTTATAGCCACCATTACAATACTAGATAGATAAATTCGCTCCAAGCCAATTGAGGCATTCATCCGTTCAAAATTGAATCAAGAAATAGGCAAACCATATTTACAGAACACAAGAAAAATTCCCAGGTTGTTTACTATCAGCCATGCAAATAAGCAACTGAAATGAAACAAAAATATAAAAAGAAATACAAATGCAAGAAAGGCATTCTGCTTACATCACCAACATTGAGATCTGGATTTCCATGACGGTTTCCATTTCCAGATGCATTTTTCTCATCATTAGGAATCCACTTGGAATTGCTACTCTGAGGCCCATCAAAACCATTATTGGGGCTCTTAATGAACATTGCATCAGTAACTTGATCCCCTAGGTCCATAGATTCACTGGTCATGCTGGCACTTTCTGAAATATTTTCCAGCTCCGCACTAAATGTCTGGTGCTTCTCAATTTCCAGTCTTAAAACACCTTTCACAGGTTTATGGACCTTGCGTTTAGGATCCTGTTATAATAAAGAAAACAAAAAAAAAAAGAAAAAAAAGAGTGAAGCAGAAAATCAGGAGCCATTGCTGCATAAATGACAAAGCACCAAAAAGGGAAAAAGAAGAAAAAGAAAAAACAGGGGATGAAGATGCTGAAAAGCTTACTCTAGAAAAAAAATGCACATAAATGCTTTTAATTAGTGAAAAAGGTAATTACGTGCATTTCTATACTCAAAAAAGGATAAGTTCTCATAAAATATCTAGAGAACATTTCAGATTCTTCATTTCTTTGACCTCCCTTTTTTC